CTTTTTTAGAACATTTAGGAGACATAAAGTGATGACTTGCGACTGACAGGTAGAACAACACNGGCAATATTGGCTGCATTTCATCTTACCAGGGTACTGTATCAGAGCCTGAACCCCTCCATTCTATCAAACATAGCAATCTTTAGTACAGGACCGAAAGCTGAGAAAACCTGAGGACATATGAAGGAAAATGAGGAAGCAATAAACAATTCAGAAAACAGGTCACGAGAGAATGTACAAAAGCTTTTTAGCAACTGAAGAGGGATGTTACCGTGTGTAGGACATCCAAGGTAACTGCATACTGCATGTTCTCAATGGAAGCAAGAAGAACATTACTCTCAGGTTCCAGTTTCTTCCCATCCAAACCCAAACTGAACTGTGACACGGATGGAAGAAATTTCAAACAAAAGGACAAACAGCATCTCAACACAAGCTTGCCACCTAGGAACATATCTCAACTAGAAAAAGATTTGCCCACTATGTAAAGACATACATGCACACCAATCAATAAACTATGTCTCAATCCCATATTAGTGTAGGATATATATTCAAACTTATCCGGTTAATTCCTGCTGTATGAAAGGGCAGTATCATAAAGTAATCCCACGAAAGCACAACACCAGCAACAAGGAAACTGGAAGACAAAAATTTACCAAATATGGAGATTAACCCTTTCTCATAGTTATCTCTTAAGAAGTGGTGTCTAACATCTATGTGCTTGGTCCTTTTATGATGAACAGGGTTCTTTGTCATACTTATAGCACTAGTGTTATCACAGAATATTGGTATGCATCCCNGAGGATTGGTGTAGTCCCTAAATCAGAACCATATACACGATTTAAGATTCAAAGAGAGGAAGGCAATAATAAACCCAAACAAATTAAGTCATACACGATATAATAAAGTATGATGAAGACTGCTCAAAAGCAATCTATATGAACAGCTTTCAATAATTAAAACAAGTCATCAATTATGAATGTGTATGTTTGTATAGAAGATTGGGTGTCTTTCATTAGGTTCTCTACTTTTTGGTGCACTGCTTGTATAAAGAAGTTTTCCTTCCCAGCATCTTTATCCCAAAAATAGTGCATGTGCGTGAGAGGAGGAAGATGGAGATCATTTTTACCTGCTACGATGACTCTGAAACTTCACGCTCAGATCCGTATGAGCAGAATATGTGATTTTAAGTGTACATGGTCCAAGTTCTGGAATCAAGTAACTAATACATGAGAGAAGAAAAAATCAGTTAACTGCCCCTCATGAACAAGAAGTAGCTAATAAATATTTCTCCAGAACAGCAATTGAGTATAGTATGAAAATTTAGAGCATATATTTTTCCCTTCACAAGATCATAGAAATCAGAATTCCACTAATAGCTCTGAGCATAGGTACATTTAAGCAGCCAGCCGACCATCTGAATTTTAGCCAACTAAATTAAATGGGAAGACCAAACAATCATCTTTTCTGCAAGCATTTTTACAAGGATCAGCCCTCTTTCTTAAGAAAGTCGTAGTTATGAATGCTTTCTGTAGCAGCATTTAAAAAGCAGAGTTTGATAAGCTCATTATTCCCCATTAACTAGAACTTAAATGAACACAAGAAGAAGGCGCCTTAAATGTCAATATAAATATATGGAACGGGCTAAGGAGCATGTGTGTACCCCTTCAGTAAATTCTTAAAAAGCTCCTCAAAGATGTCCAGCCCCAATGTATATGCACCACATCTACAAAAATGATCCATACCCAGCCAAAATATAATCCAACATCACCTGGGAATGCTTCTTCCATCCAGGGCATCCTTTGCTGAAGTAGCGGTTTCTGCATCAGAAAATTGCACCAGAGCCTGAAGAGGGTTCAAGGAGGTGAGGGACTCGTCAGTTAATTAGGAGGTCAACAAACATATTGAGACTAATCAAGCTTGGTCGAATCCATCTTTCTGAAGCATAAATACCTGGAATCCAGCAGTCTTCTCAAATGTTGTGATCTTGTGCACAAATCCAAAAGCTGAAAACACCTGAAAGAACAGGAAAATTTAAGAAATAGATCTATTCAATGCTAAAATTATAAATTTGGAAAAATCCTTCATTCTAATGTGCAATTCCAGTCATGCTCTTCTCAAGTATTAGAAACAAATAGTATAAACGACATTTCTGTTTTTAATGATTATCAATTATACCATCACAGAATAATACTGCAAATATTTTCTAATCAAGGAGTATTTCACAACAGTTGACCTAAAGGGGTTCTAAAAATGCGAAGGATATCGATTGGAGGAAGGATACAAAACAAAGGCGCAAAGCTACCGGAACATGAACATGTGATGCAAACAAAACTACCTGAAGATGAGAGACAGTTCACTGAAGTCACCAAATTTAGGTCAACCACTCATATATTCAGAAAATTCCACAAGGAAAAAAAAATTTGTATCTGTTAATAAAGCCTAAGGCTCATTTCTTCATTACAAGGACAACCTTGTCAAACAAAGCTCATAACCAGAGAAGTTCTCAGCAGCAGTAAGTCGCCTCAGGTTTGTAAAATTTTGGCCCAAAGCTGAACAAGCTCCATTCCTTGAAGCTGTCTTAAAAAAAACAAAACTTTCTGTCTACTAACATCCTAATAACACTAAAACTAGAGTGAAGGAGATTATTTCTTACGCTAGTATCGAAGTTAAAAGGTTTTAGAAAATTTAAGACAAGCAAGTCATGGAGAGGGTAAGTTTAGAAAACCAAATATCTGAGTCGTAGATGGTTATCTGGCTTTGCGTTGAGCCTAATTGAGTTGGATCTTAAACTTTCAAGTTAATTAATTGAAAAGACATTATTACTCTAAGAAAAGCAAGTAAATTCGCATCCATTGCAAGCTTCCAGATGCACATGCAACAAGTTTGCCTTGGACAACGAAAAACTGCAACTCCATTATGCATATGCTAAGGAGGGAAGAAGATTTTGAGGAATAAGAATCATCTGACACTCCAAGAAAGTCAGGAAAGTTAGATGAGGAGAAGAAGGGAAGGAAGAGCTTGAGTTAAGCAAAAGAGAAAGGAGACAAACACACATTCGCTCTTTCTCCCGAAGCAATAAGCTGCCACTGAAGATATATCCTGGACACTGGCCTGCTGATCCATTCAATTTCATGTCAAAGAGTGCTCAATAAAGCATGAAATAGCCCAATCTAATTACCAAAACTACAGAAAAACCTTTCTATGAAGAAGATTTCCTATCCACCAAGGTACATGGGAAGTAATGTAATCCTTACCAAATGTAAAACATCAATACTGACAAGGCGGGCATCATTCCCCTCAATTGTAACCAACAACACATTTCCAGCTACATCTGCTGTAGTTTTGTTGTTCACTATCTCTTGCCTGTTGGAATATTGTAGGTAGACGGTTTTCCCTCGTACCTGAGCCGGTTCTGAGGAAGAGGCGTAGTACGATATCATTGCAATAGCTTGATTTAATTCTGCCTACACATATTAACACTTCAGAAATAAGAAAATCAAGTTTTGAAGGACGTGCAGTTTTACAAGAAAACAGAAATGTAATGAAAGATCATGGTGAACTAGCTACTTACGAACTCTCTTTTTTTAGGAGTAAAGGTGAGTAATTTTATTTTTTGAGGAAGTAGAATTAATATAAGCAAACTTGACCAAGCACTAAGATGGTGCATATCAGTGCAAAATTTGACCAGCTACTTACTAACTCTATAAATGCCTGATTCCGGTTCGCTCCAACATTACATTTGGTATTAACGACTTTACCAAATGGCTTCCCCAATTCGATCAGCTCCTCCTCTGTGCACTCCCATGGTAAGTTTCTCAAATGGAGGACCTTTGATGGTGGCTGTGTGTACCGAAACTGGGGTTGGCTAGACCCAGATGCCATCCGAACTATAAACACAAGCTTCAAACAGAATAACAAAATTAAAATGGTATTCGCTCAATAATAACACTTCGCGAGCTCTCAAATCTAAGAGCCTGATTGGATTATAAGCAGTATACAAACTATATAAAATTTGATGCTAAAGGTGCCAGCGCAATACTCCAAAATGTTATCTTGTGTAATTTCCTTATCAAAAAATATATGTAATCTTGTGTAATATAATAGCATGCGCTTAAATAGAAAGCAATTCTCCAAGAATATAATTTAGAATAAGTACAACTATTGCCATAAATTATCTTTCTTATTCATACTAGGAAAGTCCCTTATACTAAGCTTTCAAATGAAGGTATATACTGTGTAACTATAGCCTTATCAACCCGGTATTTTAAATCAGGGTCAACCCGCTATATTTTTCCTTATCGCACGCAAAGTTAACAGCGAAAAACCAATAAAGAAAGAGAAAATTAGGTAGAACGATAGATGGCATATAAATACTTCAGTCATGCAATTACATTGGCAAATCTATGTTATAGTGGTGTCATCACATTACATCAGTCCAAAATAAATACAGTGAAGAACCTAGAAAACATCACCTGAAGGAAAATGAAGCGAATCACAAGCTTCCACCAGCAGGAAAACAATTAATTTATCCACAGATATTAAGCAACATATCTAATTTATGCAGCTAAAAAGACATCAACTTTATGGCCAACCAACCACAAACGCGAGTCGGGCAGTGATTGAACGTAATTGTGAGCTGGATTGACTACCAGATTAACCGGGACAGAATTGTATAGGAGGAAAAAAACATATAACATCGTACGATCCCTCTACTCAAACTCATCGAATATATAAAAACAAAAAGGGGAAAAACGAGCAACTTCATTGAAATCAGTGTCGCCGTCAAAAAATGTTCAAACGCAAACCTTTAAATTAGAATGAAGAAGAAAGATTAGGGCACAAAAGAATGAGGAAAAAAATAATCATGTGATATTGAACTAGAATCTCTAAAACAACGTTTTGATTAGAATGAAAAAAGAAAGCATAGATTTAGAGCAGCCATACCTATGTTATCTGAGATTAGGGTTTCACAGACGGAAACGGAAGAGCACACAGCTTTGAGTCGTGACAACGCAGTATACTTCGATTAATTGATATGAATATTAGCCTTATTTTATCTTGTGAAGAATATATGACTATATATAGCTCTTGAATGATCAGTGCAAAGTATATAAGAAAATTAAACTCGATTAATGAAACTGAATAATATGAAAATGTTTCTTTAAAGAATTGGATAACAATATTTGTTTTTATTGTCATAAATCCTGCAAATGGATCCATCCACTTGCAACAATGGATGTCTTCCATAACAGGTTTTGGATTGGTTATGTATCCATAACAGATTTTAGATTGGTTATATATCCATAATACGTTTTGAATTGGTTACGTATCCGTAACAGGTTTGGTTATGTATCCATAACAGGTTTTAGGTTGGTTATGTATTCATAACATGATTTGGATTGGTTTTGTAACAACGAAATGTTGCTATAAATAGGTTCACCGATGAACCTATTAGATACTCAGAAACAAAGAAATAGATCCTCTCTTCTAATGTCATCGTTCTCTTATGTTATTAGTCCTAGTTAATTACATAATTCTTGCTATATTGCTTTTATTTTGTAACACGTTATCAGCACGAGACTCTAATCCTTTCCATTACCATTTTAAGGTTTATTTTTATATATCCTCCAGGTATGTCTTAATACATGTTACATATTTTATATTAATTCAAGTTCTTATAGTAGTTGTTATGTCGTCACAGAAAAGAAATTAGTAGACATAAAATAATTATATAGTAATTCATTATTCACATGTATATCAGAAAGCATTTGGTTAGAGATATTGTAAAAATTTATCATGATTTTTAATTGGTAGAAATACTCGTTAACTCCTCTTAACTGAAGATGACCTTAGTAATTTTATTTAACCAATTTCTTTTCGATTTATATTCAGATATAATACTTTTTTAAAAAGGATATATTTATGTGTAATTGAAATGACTTGATCAAGTGTTTTGATTCATTCAATAAGTATCGGACATGCATATGTTTCTCACTTGTCATGGAAATCTAACTTGGCTACTAATATATTGTGAAAACACTTAGAGTTGTGTCATGATCCAAACCCCGCTCCGGTCGTGATGGCACCTCTCGTGAAGACAAGGCCAGCCAACCAACCTAAATTGCCTTTTTTCAAAATTAGATAAAACGTGAATAATCAATTTTAAAGGTGATTCAATAACATTACTTAGCGGAAGTACAACCCAAACACAGCCCAAACCGGGGTGTCACAAATCACGAGCATCTATAAGGGTGTAATTACATCTACAAAGTCTAAAAATACACTGAACAGGAATAATGAACAACAGGGAGAGAAACGGTGCTGCGAACGCTGACAGTCACCTCGCTAAACTCCTACAGCTCCGCCTTCACACAGCCAATACCCGCTACCGGGTGAATAAATACCTGCATCTGCACACAAGGTGCAGGGAGTAAAGTGAGTACTCCAACTCAGTGAGTAATAAAGGTAAATAATAACTGAGCAGTAAGAAACCACGTAAAGCATCCAACATGTTGTATAGAAGCAATATACAATCCTTTGAAAAAAAACAGTGAAACTGTGAAATCTTTAGAAATCTCTTGGCTCAGCTTAAACCTCTTTTGAAAATGGTCTTTTCAACAGTTGCGAAATAATTTCAAAACAGTTAGTGCCGGTACGCACAGAAAATCCGCCCCTCGGGCACAAATACCACAGTATAACAAATGAAAGATAAGTAAGTATGCAAAATGAGCACGTAAAAGTTCGCCCCTCGGACAATATCTCAGAACAGTACCAGCCCCTCGGGCCACCTCACAATCACTCAGATCAGCCCTTCGGCTACCTCACAATCACTCATATCAGCCCCTCGGGCTCAGTATCAATCACTCAGCATAATGGGTACCCGCGCTCATTGTGGGTGTGCAGACTCCGGAGGGGCCCCTTACGGCCCAAGCGCTATATCAAGCCACCTCGTGGCATCATCACTCGGCACTCGGCCTCACATCACTCGGCACTCGGCCTCACATCACTCAAGCCACCTCGTGGCATATAAATGTATCTCAGGCCCTCGGCCTCATATCACTCAGCATATCCTCACATATGGCCCTCGGTCTCACTCAGTCCGAAAATCATCACAAAGCCCCTCGGGCATTAGTAAAACAGTAGTTCTCAGCCCAAAACATCATTTAGAAATATCGTTTAAGTTTCAAATTTGAGTAAAAGTGGCTGAGTTTGTAAAACAGTAGATATCAACAAGACTGAGTTCAAGTAATAGATCAAAATAGTGAGGAAATAGTGATAAAAATCCCCGAAGGGTTCAAATAATTGGCACGAAACCCAAATATGGCAATCAGCCCAAATCATGGCGATAACAAATAAGTTTCAGTCAAATACGCGGTAAAATCATCAATCGGGATGGACCAAGTTATAATCCCCAGTAGTAAAAGACCCCACGCTCATCATCCAGCGCGTGTCTCACCTCAATATAGCACTACGATGTGCAATCCGGGGTTTCAAACCCTCAGGATATCATTTACAATCATTACTCACCTCGAACCGGCGAAATCTCTAGCTCGCGACGCCTTTGCCCCTCAAATCGGCCTCCACGTCGAATCTATCCAAAACCACAACGAATACATCACAATATGCTAAGGGAACAAAACCCAATCGAAAACAATCAATAACGGGCACAAATCCCGAAATTACCAAAACCCGAGCCCCGGTCCCACTTCTCAAAACTCAGAAATTTTTACATCAACGGATTCCTTATCTCGCCACGAGTCTTTACATATCAAAAAACTCTCAAATCCGACCTCAAATGGCCCTTCAAATTCCAATTTAAAAACCTCAAAAGTCAAGCCCTGGTTCTTCCATTTTAGTTAAATTCCCATGAATTTCTAGGTGGATTTCACAATAAAAACGAGTATTGAGACCAAGATTCTTACCTCAAGTCAATTCCTCTTGAATCCCTCTTTCATTTCCTCCAAAAATCTCCAAAAACGGGCAGCCATGGGTGAAAATAGACCCAAAATCGCGAACAAGATGACTTTAAAACATTCTGCCCAGCTACAGGATTTTCTTCTTCGCGAACGCGGTCCAACTCTCGCGAACGCGTAGCACAAAATTACATTGACCAACTTTTACCTTATGCGAACGCGACACGCCCGTCGCGAACGCGATGCTTCCACAGCCTTGACCTTCGCGAACGCGCCACTTCCATCGCGAACGCGATGACTAACTGACCATCAGACCCAATCTCTCCTACGCGATCACGTATAAACACTCACGAACGCGATGCTGCCTCTCACAACCCTTCGCGAACGCGGCATGGACCCTCGCGAACGCGTAGCTCACAGAACTCGGCCCTTCGCGAACGCGAAGGCCGAAATACCTACAACACCAGACTGAAAATCTGCAATCTCTTAAACACAAAAATGGTCCGATTGACCACCCGAAACTCACCCGAGGCCCCCGGGACCTCAACCAAAAGCACTAACATATCCTAAAACCTCATTCAAACTTGTTCCAATCACCAAAACACCTCAAACAACACCAAAACCATCAATTCACATCGAATTCAAGCCTAAGTTTTTCCAAAAACTTCCGAAACACGCATTTGATCAAAAACCCAACCAAACGACGTCCGAATGACCTGAAATTTTACACACACATCCCAAATCACATAATGAAGCTACAGCAACTCTAGGAATTCCATTCCGACCTTCGGATCAAAATCTCACCTATCAACCGGAAATCGCCAAAATACTAACTTTGCCAATTCAAGCCTAATTCTACACCGGACCTCCAAAACCAATTCCGATTACGCTCCTAAGTCATGAATCACCCAGCGAAGCTAACCAAATCATAAAAACTCCGATCCGAGCTCATATACAAGAAAGTCAACTCTTGGTCAAACCTTTCAAATTCAAAACTTTCAACTGAGACTCTTCTTTCAAATTCATTCCGATTTTCCTGAAAACCAAAACCAACGATCTACATCAGTCATAACACATCATACGGGGCAAGTCATGCCCGAGAACTGGCGATCAAAGTGCAAAAGCTCAAAACGACCGATCGGGTCGTTACATCCTCCCCCACTTAAACACACGTTCGCCCTCGAACGTTCCCAGAGTTGTTCTAAAAGCCAAACACTCGCTGAATAACCTTACCATGCATATACCCGGGGGTGATCCCACGTCACCCTATCTCATATAGGTCCGATAACACGACGTAGCTGAAATTTCACAATCCATCCTAATCCGTGAACCCTAGAACCACACTCTCACTTCTGAAACCATCAATACGATCAGAACCTCACACCTATACTCTGAATAGTCCTGAACCAGCTGTAATAGCCCATGCATGCAACCTCAGGTGCAATTATATGATATACCACATAACTCAAACACATGCAGCGATAACTTCCATTCACAACAGCTGCCTACAACAACCAAATACCGATAGAAAACCTCTTATTAGCTAAAGCCTCATTTCCAACACTTCCATATACTGCCAACGATAAATGAAACACGCAATAAACCATAACCATTTCCCAGATCAACCATTCATGAAGCTATTTCTCCTCTGGCAATTACCATAACAATTTTTTCGAGCCGAACCTCGACATTAACCTTCCAACATGCTGAAATCGAATCCGTTCGTATTCATTAATGATCCCCACGACCTCCTCTAATCCAACACACCACTCTGGTGACATGACACGTCAATAGAGGCCTAAGCCACAACTAGCATAATACGCGCACCAATATGCAACGGTCCGAACACACTCAAATCATGAAAATGGTTCAAATGAAAAAGCTGTACCACAAGCTCACCAGTACCACCACAACACAAGGTTGAGAACCCGTCTCACATCATAGAATATAACACACGAATCTAACCCGCAATGTCATATCTCCACATAGCCTCACTGCAATGCACGATCCTGTCCAAACACTGCTCCACATGAGACACCTCAAGTCACTATGCCCGAAATTGACAACCATGCACAATTTGATGCCTGAAACCAAAGCAAATCATTACACCCTCGGTGAAATAAGTAACCTATACCACGCAAGCCCGATAGGACATAACCGATACGCCATTCACTG